GCATATATATTTCTGCATCCCTTTAAAATTAATTGAAAGAACCAAAGAGAAACCTACTAACACCGTATTATTGTTACATATCAAGACCAATGTCCAAGTTTATAAGAAATTTGCTGAAAGAACAACGATTTAGCAATTTTGAAGATGTCAGAGACTACGTTTTGAGCTAGACTGCTTCTTTAGACTGCAATATTTTATTTCTAACAATAAATATGAATTTTACTTTACAAATAATAAAACTATACATCAAAACTATACATTTTTCCACCTTTTTAATTTAAGATTTTTATAATTCAATTATTACCAAATATTAATTTACATTTGTACATAAAGCAATGCTGTTTAATTGTTATTAAAAAATTGGATCTATACTACAAGACAGAACGCATCTATAATTTTATTTACATTCCATTATGTCAAATAACCTTTTCTTTATATGCAATTTCAATTAGAAATTTTTATTTTAAATTTGTTTTAGTAATTAGCGTTAATGTATTTATATACAGAAAAGTGATATACCGACTATAGAGTACAGGCAAACTCTTATGATGATCTAGCACTTTTTTTTGTTGTTTATTACTATTTTTTTATGACACAAACAAAATTTTGTTTGAAATACGTGTTGCTTTTTAAGAAGCTCAAAAAAATGCTCGTGCCAGTTGGTACCTATTAATAAATTATGGCAAGTAGTTTTCCATTCCAAAACAAAAATTCGTACACAAAGCAAAACAAAAACAAAAAAAAACAAAACAAAAAGTAGAATTATCATAAATTATTATGGTAGATAGAAAATTAATCAGATTTTTATTTTTATTTCGTGTTTTAATCAAGTGTTATCAAGTTTATTTGCCTAAAATGCTGCAAACATTTTTTTTGATAAAGAATTTGTTTAATGATGTATGACAACTGATCTATAGGATATACATATTCGAAATATTTCTTATTAGAAATATTTGCAACGTTAGATAATCTACAGTCACTTATAATAAAGAATCTCCATATGAAAAACGCTATAATAAGCTTGAAGTTTGAAAAAGCCATTTTTATTATTAACTTCTATCTGACCTATTGTTTATGCATGTGAAAAATAAAATGCCATAGATCATCTCTAAAAAAAAAAATTATTTGTGATTTAGTTATTGACGAAACTTATAAAATCACATAATTCCTAAAAGCAACAGTGAGAACCGAAGACCGGATTTAGCATTAAATGACGAAAAGACTTAAGTGTACAATCCTAATTAATATAATTAAAAATTAGGCTCATATAATTTTTAATGACCTTATGTGTAACTATAATACTGGTCGATTTATTTAAGTAAAAACTTTTCTTCATGCTGTTTTCAATCGCAGCACAGAATGTATTTAGTTTATTTAGAGGAGGATGATATTGAGGAACCTATTTTTTTACATATTTCCTGTTCTCTACACATTTAGAGTAACGACTCTTGAAGATGAACATATAGGAGAAAGCTTATATTGTATGTGAGACACTTATTTTTTTCAAAATATAACTTGCTTCTTCCCTTTTTCTTTAATTGTTGAAATGGAAGTTAGTGCATAAAACATTTCTATTCAATAGTATCTTTGATGACTTGGGTGATTCACTGTACCTAGTATGCGATTGAAATATGATAATGAGTTATTTAGGTGATTACAAATATAAGTTAAAAGTTCAGTTTATAGAAGTACAGTTCGAGATATTCAGTTGCTCTAAAAATAAATGTTCTTGTAAAAGAGACCTACATTTTTATAGTATAATAGGACCCATAGTTAACTGGAACTGTACTGTCCGTTTTCTTCATAACTTTCACATATTATTCTCTATAGACAGTTTTAGTATATCGAATTCTCCAAACAGCAATGATTTCCGATGCCAAATAACATGTTTTCTCTGGATAGCACTCAATAGATGTTTTAATAGGAAAGAAAATGAGACAATGTTGTGTTAACAGTAATAAAGACTTAAACACATAAAACTGCAACCGCAACAAGGGATGAAATCATTGAAATTAAGTAAAAAAAGTTGGACCGAAGTATACAAGTGCATTAGCATTGAAATTCGACAAATAAGATGGAACGAAGTACACAAGGATAGATGAAGATATAAATTTACTGCGGAACTAATATAAATTATTTCATAACATAATTACTAATAGAGTAGAAAATACAATATACTCAAAAAGATTTAAAAAAAACTAAAAAGCATTTGATAGTGGTAAATATATAATTTTCGAATGAAATATTTCGAATAAACATTGATAGTCAAAACAGACTGCGATTTATGTTAAAAATAATCGATAATTAGAATAAACGCACTTAAGACATTAGACAAAAGGAAGCAACTAACTAGAAATCTCTTCTCTGTGGAAGAACGGTGGATATAGGATATCAGTGATGGTTTATTTTGATGACATACAAGTATAATATCGGAATATGTGACGGAAGATTAAGGAACTACTTGGATGCGCTGAGGACTTCTGTAACTTTAAGTAACGAAAGAAAAATGATACAAGATTTATGTTAAAAATAATCGATAATTAGAATAAACGCACTTAAGACATTAGACAAAAGGAAGCAACTAACTAGAAATCTCTTCTCTGTGGAAGAACGGTGGATATAGGATATCAGTGATGCTTTATTTTGATGACATACAAGTATAATATCGGAATATGTGACGGAAGATTAAGGAACTACTTGGATGCGCTGAGGACTCCTGTAACTTTAAGTAACGAAAGAAAAATGATACAAGAGAAGAAGTACACACTGATCGATAATCGCACTCATTAGTACTTCCGAAAAAGATTAAAATTTCTTATATGTAAATATATAAATATATAAATGTATTGATATGCGTATTTTTATTCTTATACTACTTTATTTTTTTTCTATTTAGTTTTTCATATACTTATTTAAAATTTTTATAGAAAGCTCATGTATTGAAAATAGAGTTGTGTGATCTAAAAGTAATGCAAAAACATGTATACGTGCCTAGCAGATGTTCTACTTCACATTCTGCACATTTAGATACATATGTATGTATGTATGTTAAATGCAATATTAGTTTTTAAAGGCATTAGAAATGTAAAGAACATTTTTTTGAGTTATGAAAAGCGCGAAGAAGAGAATGAAATGATTATATACAGTAAAGGAGGAATAGCGATTTTAGAGTAATCAACTTTGTTATTTGCTTTTAATGAATGTACTATTTAGTCATTCATGTCAAATACCATTTTTTATCACTGCCCATGTATTATATATACAAATAATCCAAAGTGTTGAGAGATAATTTACAGTGAATCAAAAAAGTTTAGGGACAGCAAACGTTTTAATTGTTAATAAAGTAACAATAATAATATATAATAATAACAATAATAATGTATAATAATAACAATAATAATGTATAATAACAATAATGTTTGCGTTACGATAATAATTGTTAAGTGCAGCTCATGTCGTGGATATATAGAGGTGATTGGAATGTAAGATCTCGTGTTTATAGATATAAAAATATATATAAAATGCTTTATTCAAATATTTTGAAAATTAAAATGTAATTCCTAGTACAGATAAGTTGGGTTTAAATCGACAAACATGTATATACTATTAAACAAACAAATTCAAACATATTTTTCATTAATTTCAGGAATGAGGTGTTCTTTATTTTGAATAGCAGAAAAAATCACTTTAGTTGTTAGATATGAATTTACTATAAAAGTATGTTGAGTCATAACTTTGTCCGATTCGGTCAATTATGTCAATTATACCATGATCTCACTGGTCTCATTTAGGCAGTTTAGCTCATTAAAGCCGGTAATAAGAATAATTTACGCTACAAAGAGCTTTTATATAAATGAGAAAAATGTTGAAAATAAATTAAAGGCAGTCCTTAAAAATAAATTTTCCACAAGCGATATGATCAAAATTTGATACATATGTTATATGTATTTGTCAGATGTTTTATATGTAAAATGTAAAAAAACATAACTAAAATAATTCTGTAACTCGAAGTCTTCATAAGCTCAACATTTTCTTTGAAAAATGGTACTTCGAAAAAGTTATGGAAATTTTACTATATTTTAAACAACATTTTTTAAGGGTGTCTAAATTTTTGAAAATGAAAAATATGCCCTTAAAATAAGAATTAATTTTGTTTTAAATATAAAGTATAAAATTAATATTTTTTCTCTAAAATCTTATTAATATTTTTTATTTCATGTTTTATGGAAAAATGTTATTGGGAAACAAAGTTTGTAAACGGCTCTGTACCTAAACTTTTTTGATTCACTGTATATAAGAATATATAAAATATATCTGTATACATAATAGATATAAAAACAGTAATAAGTGTATATAAATAATTGTAATTATTTTATCGCTTTCCTTAAAACTTTCACATTAAGGTTTAATATATTTTGATTTATGGGTTAGAGTTCCTTTGGGTACAGGCATAAATATTAGAATTTATGAAAATTGATGTACACGCAATACACTTGAGATATCGAAATGAAAATTTTAGTTAATTAAAAATAAAAATAAAAATGGATTATGTACAAGTAATGAGAGAAATTGTCTTATATATTGTTATGGTTGAATGTTTTTAAAAACACTGCAATAGAAATAAAAAAACAAAAAATTAACAAAAATAATGCCACTTAAATTGATCCGAGAGAGAGAGAGAAATTGTTAAAAACAACACAAAGTAACAACAACTTTTATAAAACAAAACGTATTTCGCTTTCATTTACGAGTTCATCAAATCATAGCAGGGAGGGAGGGTACGGACGTGCAGGCATAGAAACTTTTTTAGTGAATAAAAAGCATTTGAATGAAGAATGAAACATGCAAATTAATCAATTCTTTTTAAGCAGATAACTTATGTTTACTCAAAAAAATTTGATTAAAGTTATTATTAAAAAATTTAATTTATATTTAATTTAACAATTGTATTTTCAATATGCAGCAATACAGAAATTTAATTAACAAATAAAATTACTCACTCTTTCTTTTCCGCCGAGAGCGCTTGTGTAGTTGAAAAATTTTTGAAAGTTGCACTACACAGGCAACGACCGGACAAACTAGGCAATTTGGTTGAAATAACTTGGAATAAACTCATTTTACTTTTAATTTTTAATTCAATTGATTAAAGAAATAATTTATTTAATTTATAATAAAACTAAATATTAATTTCACATGGAACAGGAATAAGAAAAAAAAAGTTTAAATGCTTGAATTAAAACTAACTCGCTTCACTTCTGACGAGTACGTCTTCTTTCATTGACGAAATTGTCC